AGGAATAAACATACAGACCTACTAGAGGATGGACTTGAGGATATGGGGAGGGGGAAGGGTAAGCTGTGACAAAGTGAGAGAGTGGCATGGACATATATACACTACCAAACGTAAAATAGATAGCTAGTGGGAAGCAGCCGTATAGCACAGAGAGATCACCTCGGTGGTTTGTGACCACCTAGAGGTGTGGGATAGGGAGGGTGGGAGGGAGGGAAATGCAAGAGGGAAGAGATATGGGAACGTGTGTATGTGTATAGCTGATTCACTTTGTTATAAAGCAGAAACTAGCACACCATTGTAAAGCAATTATACTCCAATAAAGATGTTAAAAAAATAATTAATTTAATTAAATTAAAAAAAAAAAAAAAGAAAGACCTTGACCCTTTGCCCTACAATTCCACACATTCTGAAAGTCTTCCTAAAGCACTTAGAATGCCTCCCTTGGTCTACTAGGCCTACGTATTCTAGCCCCACCCCTCCTCCTATGTTCTCATTTCCTCCTTGCTCACTGCACTCTAGCCAAACTAATCTTTCTTTTTTCCTCACACCAAATTCCTTCCCAGCTTATAGCATTTGCACTTGCTATTCCTCCTGTCTGAGAAGCTCTGGGCCCAGATCTTCACAGGGCCAACTCAGTCTTGTCATTGTGATTTCAGATAGTGTCATTTCCCCCAAAAGATCTACCTTGACAATCCTTGCCAAAGTAGATTCCAGTGCACCACTCTGTATGACATCATCATCCTGTTTGATTTTATTCAGCACATCACCAGGTCACCAGGCTTCCTGATGCACCCATGACAGCCCTAGTTTATGGCTACCATCTTGGTATAATTGACACCCTTTCATTCTGAGAAGTGTCACTGTCTGACTAACAAATAATATGGTCACTCTCCTTATTACCATTGATATTTTCTTGTTTATTTGCTTCTCATTGTTTGGACTCTAGAATATAAGCTCTAGAATATAAGAATATAAGAATCTAGAATATAAGACATCAGGAATCTTGTGTGATGGGTTTAATGCAAAATCTATGAACCCTACAAATCTGCCTGGCCATTTATAAATATTTATTGAATGAATCACTATACTCTACAACTTTATAATTCTAAAGACCTGGAAGGCAAGAGGTTGAATCTTTAAAGATAGATGATTTCTTATTTAGAGGGCATGGCTGGGATGAGACCCCTTTTTGTACTTCCTTTCCTATTGCTATTTGTTGAAGTGCACCAGAGAAAGGGACACATACCCAGGATAACAAGAGTCCTTTGAGTATGTCCTAAATTGAGGCAGCAAAGAATTAAATGGAGCAAAATTGTGTTTGTGTTTTTGCTCTCGAGGATTGACTGTCTGGTACATGCCTGGATAAGGTGTCATATCCTGTTTCCAAGAAAAAGACCAATATGTTAGAGGGTGATATATATATATATATATATATATATATATATATATATATATATACATACATACATACACTCTAGCCCCACCCCTCCTCCTATGTTCTCATTTCCTCCTTGCTCACTGCACTCTAGCCAAACTAATCTTTCTTTTTTCCTCACACCAAATTCCTTCCCAGCTTATAGCATTTGCACTTGCTATTCCTCCTGTCTGAGAAGCTCTGGGCCCAGATCTTCACAGGGCCAACTCAGTCTTGTCATTGTGATTTCAGATAGTGTCATTTCCCCCAAAAGATCTACCTTGACAATCCTTGCCAAAGTAGATTCCAGTGCACCACTCTGTATGACATCATCATCCTGTTTGATTTTATTCAGCACATCACCAGGTCACCAGGCTTCCTGATGCACCCATGACAGCCCTAGTTTATGGCTACCATCTTGGTATAATTGACACCCTTTCATTCTGAGAAGTGTCACTGTCTGACTAACAAATAATATGGTCACTCTCCTTATTACCATTGATATTTTCTTGTTTATTTGCTTCTCATTGTTTGGACTCTAGAATATAAGCTCTAGAATATAAGAATATAAGAATCTAGAATATAAGACATCAGGAATCTTGTGTGATGGGTTTAATGCAAAATCTATGAACCCTACAAATCTGCCTGGCCATTTATAAATATTTATTGAATGAATCACTATACTCTACAACTTTATAATTCTAAAGACCTGGAAGGCAAGAGGTTGAATCTTTAAAGATAGATGATTTCTTATTTAGAGGGCATGGCTGGGATGAGACCCCTTTTTGTACTTCCTTTCCTATTGCTATTTGTTGAAGTGCACCAGAGAAAGGGACACATACCCAGGATAACAAGAGTCCTTTGAGTATGTCCTAAATTGAGGCAGCAAAGAATTAAATGGAGCAAAATTGTGTTTGTGTTTTTGCTCTCGAGGATTGACTGTCTGGTACATGCCTGGATAAGGTGTCATATCCTGTTTCCAAGAAAAAGACCAATATGTTAGAGGGTGATATATATATATATATATATATATATATATATATATATATATATACATACATACATACACACACACACACACACACACACGAAAAGCCTTCTAAGTAGAGAAAACAAAATCATCCTTTTCCTGTTCATGTATCAGCTATGGTTTAGAAACAAGCCTATAGTAGGTAGAAAACTAAGATAAGGGTATGGTTCAGCTACCTAAATGTACCTAAGACTTAGGATGTAGAAATAAACCTATGGTGGGTAGAGAGCCAAGGTAACTTATTGCAGCTACTACCCCCACTATCCCACCATCCCACCATCCCACCATCCCACTCAGAGATTCTTTTAGAGCCAGTATCCCTCTCCTTGAGCTTAATTGTCAAGAAAATGTCCAACAAGAGATTAGGAGCCTCTATACTGAAGACTTGAAGTCCAATCACACAAAAGGGTGAAGAAGTTGGATTTTTTTTTTAACTGACAAGATAATAGTATGCATCCAAACAAAGCTTCTAGTATTTTAACATCAGGTGTCTCAAGACTGAAGTCTTGCCTTGGTACCATTCATTCTGAGAATTGTTATCCACTCTCCCAGGATACTCACACACACATTTGAAATGCTAACATCCAAGCTTTTCTGATAGGCTTCTTAGTAGCTTTTGCCCAAATGACTTTTTTTCTTGAATTTCAGGGCATATTCTTTACATAACATCCAACTTTGCTCCCCAGTGCAAATACACACAGCAATACGGATCACACTAAAATCTAAGCACATTCAGCCATTTCTCACCTTGGTAATTGGCTTAAACCTCACGGCTGTTCTGGCTCCAAAAGCATATCCTTTTATACTGGTCGGGACCTTAGAGAGGTTGTATGCCAAGCCATACCTCTTCCGGTAGTATATAGAAAAAAAAGAAAAAACATACATAGAGAACATTATAGTTATTAAAACAGAGGGAACTCAGAGTATTCCTGAATCTTCTCTGCCACAGTTGCTCTTTCTTGATTCCTCTGCATCAAGACCATACAAGCAATTACATAAGTAACCCAGGCAACTCTACAAAGGAATGTGGCTGGATAGGTAGAGTGAATGACATTTCTCTACTTCCAGTGAATCCACTCCTCTGAGCCCCACAGAGATGAATGTGCTGTAATGCAACTGCCAGTCTGATTATATGATTTCATAAACTGACCTACCAGCACAGCCACAGTCCAGATTTGGACTAAGGGGAGCTATTGAGTCACTTGCCTTTGGAGGTAGGAATGGAGTCTCTTTTGGTGAGGACTGTACTAGGGACCGCATGAGGCCAAGGCTTGCGTTTGGTGGGAGGCAAATAGGGAGCAACTGTCCTTTGATTTCTGATATTGGCTCTGACAGCTGGTTGCAGAGGGCAATTTCTCATGTTGGGACCCTGAAGGTCACAAATCCCATAGAGTTTTTCTTTCAAGAAACTTGGGTATACTTAGATACCCTGAGACCCACCTAAAGGAAGGTGAATACTCACATCTTCTGCTATGTAACATCCAGACCCTCTGTTGGGCTCTCCCCTAAGAGGGAGAAACTTGTTCCCCAACAAGCTTGGGGGACAGGAGTGAGGGAAGACCTTCCTCTGTTGACATGTTCCAAAGGAGTAGTTAACCAGCGGCTCTGAAGATCAAGAAAGAGGAGAAACTCCACATGAGGGAAGACCCCTGGTCTAAGAGAGAGCTCGGGGGTGGGTGGGGTGTAGGGAGGCGGGGCAGAGCTCTTAAGAGCAGGCCCAGCTCTTAACATAAACCAGATCAACTCCATGTAAGGGGGTGAAGCACATTTTCCTTCCCTTCGCCCTTCTTCTTTCCCAGCCTCCCTACTCTTCCTCTTGCCTCTACTCTTGACTCCTCCATTACAGCCCTCCTTACCTGCTTTATTGAAGCACATCTCAGCAGTGCCACCAGGGCCAGAGTTTGTGTACTGCATTGCCTAGGAAACAGAGGTGGGGCTGGGCAGCCCCAGATGCCTAGCTCCCAGAGAGGAGTGGCTCTGAGCTAGCCTACTCAGCAAGTGGGGAATCCTGCAGAGCCACCCTTGGGGCAGGAACTGCCCCTCCAAGGCCAGGAGCCCAGAAGAGTGAAAATTCTGCAGCTGGGCAAGAGGTAGGGGGTTTGCTGGATCTGAGGCTGTAGGCTGAAAGCTGGGCCACCAGAAATGCACTGCTGAAGAAGGAGGTACCCCCATGTTTAGGATGCCCTGAAATCCAGGCTACTAGGCTCAGGGATGTAGGAAAACACAGCCTCTGCAGTGGTGGCCTATGGGGGTGGGATTCCTGGGAAATGCCCAGAAGAGGGGAGTTGGGGACCTAATGGAGCCCAGAAAGTTCTGTATTAGGCCTCTCTTAGACACATTTTCCCTTTTCTTCAAGCAATTCCCATCAGGTTACCCGCTTCTACCCCTAAGTGGTGCTCGAGGCTTTAAAAGGTCTGGAATCCTTAGGGGAACAGTAAGAGTGCAGTGGAATCACTGAAGTGCTTAATAGTTTAAATTTGGGGGTAGTTACTTAAGTCAGTTTATTCATCTCTAAATTGGGAACAATAATTCCTTTTTATAGGGTTGTTAAGAAGATTAAGATAACAGGATTAGTTCATTGCCTGGTGCTTGGTAGGTGACAATGCAAGAGATTATTATTATTGAAATAGTATCTAGCTAGCTTAGGAGCACTCCCATCCTAACCCAAAAAGACATATCAGAGTGTATGATGACGTCTTTACCTTTGTCCTAGATATTAACACTAACTTGTTATCACTTGATTTTAGGATAACTTTAGGAGTTGTCAGGTGTGAGAGGCAACAGGATGCAGTGTGATTGGTACATTCTACCTTTGGCTTCTAAGGATGATCTTGGGATCCACACATACCCAGGGCTAGCACAGTTTACAGGGATGATTTTATAGCTCTAATAAAGGGTTTCCAAAAGAGGTAATACTGAGTCCTAGAGGATATTTTGGAAACTTGTAGAAGTATTTTGCTTCTTAAAAATTACTGAGGCGATGCTCCTGGTCAATGGGCCAGGGAGGCTGGATACCTGTAGCTCATTGCCCAGTTACACAGTGAATTGTGTCAAGTCATATATAACATTCAAATGTCTTCCTGGCCTCTACAAAAATAACTGATTGTATCTGACATATATAGCAACATTGAAGAAGGTTTTTTTTTTAAACCAAATAATGCAGAAAGCCCAGTAATATAGAAGGTCTTATGAGAAACAAAGCGTAATTGGAATAAAAATATGGTCTCAACATTATTGCACAATTTGCTTCAAGCCTCCTTTCTCCTCAAAATATAATTACAGTAAAAATTATGGTAAACAAAATGTAAAGAGATATAGTATTAATTTGATCATTTTCACTTTCTTTAATATTTTAAGGAATATTAACGTTTTTAATACCCACAGTGTTTTTTGAAAATTAGCGTTTACATTATTAGTGACATGAAATGTGTCTCACAAAGTACTTTAAAATTATGGCAACATATTCCCTCATTGGTAGATTGGTTTGCTTCAAGATAATCCTCCAGGTGAGAAGAGATAGAAAAAACAGACTCAATAAAGCATATATATTTCAAGACATCAGAGATATACCAAAGAAGAAAGAACCTGCAGGACCAAGATCCCAGAGAGAGGGGTAGCCCAAAGTGGTGAGCCCAACAGTTGATGCTGCTGTTCCCTTTGAACATTCGCAAATTAAAAAGCTGGCTGACATAAAAAGGAACGAAATTGGGTCATTTGTAGAGACGTGGATGGATTTAGAGACTGTCATACAGAGTGAGGTAAGTCAGAAAGAGAAAAACAAATATCGTATATTAAAGCATATATGTGGAACCTAGAAAAATGGTACAGATGAACTGGTCTGCAGGGCAGAAATAGAGACACAGATGTAGAAAACAAACGTATGGGCACCAAGGGGGGAATGCGGTGGGGTGGTATGATGAATTGGGAGATTGGAATTGACATATATACACTAATATGTATAAAGTAGATAATTAATAAGAACCTGTTGTATAAAAAAAAAATTAAATAAATTAAAAAAATAATAATTTTTTAAAAAGCCAGTGGAGAAGCAGACGATTTGAGCAGAAACTTGAGCAGACAGTCTCTGAAAGATGGGGAGCAAAAATTAGGCTGACCATGGGGGAGAGGAGACTGGAAAACACCCTGGACTTTTAGTTAGGACTCTAAAGAAATACACCTCAGGAATAAAAGTAAATGAGAAATACAGCAACTCTCAAAAAATCCTGAAATTCAGCTTTGTATCAACTCAGTCCCCAGTTGCATTAAGATGATCTATTTCTACCCTTACTGCATATCAGAAACAAAAGTAATTCATCTATTAGCATAACATCATCGGAGCCTCAAATAATTTTTATAATTTTTTTATGCAAAATGTTTGGCATTCAATATAAAACAACCACTCCTACAAAAAAGAATAAAAAGAAAAAAGTAGAAATAAACCCAAAGGAAATCCAGAGATTAGTGTGGACTTTGAAATCAAGTGCGGACTTTAAAATACCTGTACTTGGCTTCAGATTTTAGAAGAAGGCTGAAGATTGCAGCATGAACATAAGAAGCAAAAGAAAGCAAGGAAATTTGTGATCATGAAGCAAATTCTTGGTTTCTGAGGTAAGAAGCTAAAAGAAAAAGATAGATTAGACCCTAAAAACAAACCAGTAGAGATCCCAGTGAACTAGGGAAAG